TTTTTATGAAAAATAAGTAATAATATGTATAGAAATGTTCCCCAAACCAGTTTCTGAATTCTTATAAAAATGCAAGCATTTCAAATAGTATAATAATGATTATATAATGATGGCTGAGTTCAAATTTTTCCTGGAGTTGAATACCCAAGAAATGGATCACCTCTAACTTTGTGTGAGTGTGCCACTGACTCGATGGGAAGACCAAAACCACTGGCCCACGATCTTTACTAAAAGAGAATCTTGTCCACAGGTGCCTGTGCTTGACTGGGCCTTTTCATGTAACACCAGGATAGTGATTGCTATAATGCCACTATATAGTAGGAGATGGTCACTCAACCTTGTCACCATACATGGTTTCACAAGGGTAATGGAGCTCCCCATGTAAAATGCAGAAAAGATAGCCATGAACTGTAAAATCTATTCATTTGTAGCCTCTATTTGTGCGGGCTGCTCTGTTTATTTTGAAAAACTAATTATTAAATTTATCCTATTAATTTTTATTGTTAACAAAGAGATTAACTTTATGTAAAACATAGCACAAATAATCATAATCATTATTATATATTAGTGTGTTTTTTTTTTGAGAAAAACAGGGTGCAAACAAAATGCAGTAGATTGTAACATCTCCTCAGTCAACCCAAATAGAATTAGAAAGCATTGCTCTCGCACTACATTAGACCTTTACTGGGCTATAAAATTAATATGTATTGTACCCATGGTTTCTCAAAAAATTTCAACTTTAGTTATCACTTTTTTGGGACACACATTGAAAAGTACAAGTTATTGCCAGCCCATTAATTAAAATATAGTGCTGCATTTCGTTCCAAGCTTTTCCACATAAAACTTGAATTACAGGCATGACACCATAATCTGTACATATGGAGTATGGTTACAATGCATTCTAGTATATTCCAAGTGAATTGTATCGATATCATCATCAAACCATGGAACTCTCTTAGGTTAGAATGGAATCGCTGATAGTTAGTTGGCCGAGATGGTTGTTTAATAGAAGTAGTTGGTTTGTGGGAACGTAAATAATTGTTATATAACCAGAAGCAATGCACTCCGGCTTCGCTAAAGTATCGGTAACACTTCTCTTTCTTTGGGAAGTGCACCCTCACATCAGGGCAATAATTTCCCATATCACCTCCTGCCCACCGTGCCCAGTTTTCATCAATCATAACGAAACAAGTCATTCTAAATCAAGTTGTATGTTTGAGGTTGTGATAAAATGTAATTACATCTGTAAAGGTAAATGTTTCTGGTCTGGATACGGCTTTTACTGCCTCGGCCATATAGCTTACACGCCCACATCAGTATGTAAAAGCCGTATCTAGTCCATAAGGATTATTATCTCCTAGCATGTTGCTGACAGGGGGTTAGTGTGGTGACCAGCATTTGACCGCATGGAGCACTATTGCTTATAGACATTACCAGTTTTATCATATTTGGAACACTGTTGCAAATATAGACATTCAACCAGATCATCCATCTCTGATGGCTTTCTTGTTTAGTTTCATGAAAACTTAGTATTGTTTTCCTCTGGCATCAAACATAACACTATTAAAAAAAAAATACAGAATAATAAATTAAAAATTACAGAATAATAAATCTAAAAAACATCTGCTTCTGATAGATAAGAATTTTGCATTCAGTATACAGCTTGGATTACATCATAGTTTGCATCCTGTACTCTCAGTATTCAATACATTGTCAATTCTTCTTTAATTTCCCATTGTGATTCACTACACAAAAACACTGCAATTCCTGATACAATTTAAATGAATTAAAAAAAGTTAAATATGATTTAATATACATTTGCATGATTTAAACTCTAGTCAAGACCTTCATATCAAGATTTATCATTTGGGTTTTGTTTGATGTCTTGAAGTTTAATTTGTACATTACCCCGGTAGTAGCATGAGTATTGCACAATGCCTCTCCAGTTTCACTTTGATCATAGACCATAAAAAACTCCTGAGATATGCCTAGCGGGACACCAGATAATATTGTTTTCCCAGTTTGCCTATTTTTACAACTTATTATTTCAAATAAATGTACCATTTAAACTAATTAGAAATGTCTGTTTTGTTTCAGAAAACCAGAAAAGGGTATGAAATTTCTAATTGATAACAAGTTTTTGGAGAATTCACCACCGGCTGTTGCCAAATTTCTTCTGACAGCAAAAGGAGTTAGCAAACAAATGATAGGAGAATACCTTGGCAATTTACAAAAACAATTTAACATGGAAGTACTTGAGTAAGTATAATGATTACATCAAATATAAATATTTTGTAACCGTTATGCTAATACGAAATACTGTATTCTAGATGCCTGTTTCTTTTGAACAATAGAGGGCGCTTCTTGCATGTAACATGTAAATGTTAAATGTATGTATTATTTTGAACCAGCTTTAACATACTTTGCATGGAATTGAAAATACAATTTTTTTTTTGTACTTTAAGTGAATCTATGCCGTTGATGTAGACAAAAACATTTATTATTTCTTTCTGATGAATATATTTCTTCATATCTAGAAATATTGCTCTATGAGAGGATGAAAAAGTTTTACATTTTGATAGTTATATATATGACTCTTTAGATTGTGTTTCTCCTATTATGTTTATTTCTTGGGAATTAGTCAGATGATGAAAAAAAATTGATTTAAAAACAGTGATGCCAAATTCCTTAAAACTTCCATCTTATTCTTGGGCATATTATCACCTGTGTATTACGTAAATGAAGATATTGATGACAGAATAAAAGTGAACAGAAATTTTGTGTTTTTAATTTAGTGTTTGTGTTTCTATAGTTGCTATGTAGATGATATAGATTTGATTGGTATGCCAATTGATGAAGCACTCAGGAAATTCCAAACCTATTATAGAATGCCCGGAGAAGCACAGAAAATAGAAAGACTGATGGAGGTGAGTCAGATTACGTTTTTTTTTATAATAATAATTAGCAGTGAAGTGACATATATGCAATGTACACTGTAGTCTGGTCCAAGGCCTCAAATTACAAATGTTGAAAAAAAAAAAACAGTGAAAGCCTAAATCTAAAAGTAAATGATCTACAAATTCGATCAATACTTAGTATAAAGTAAATTAATGTTTTCATCTACATGGTGACTTGCATATGGGACCTCCTTTCATCTTATGTAATCACACTGAAAACCTTTGTGCTTGCATGATTGCAATTATTGTCAAACAACTAATGCTGAATATTTAGTGTATTTATATGTAATGCAGACATTTTCCTATCTTTACGGTAGTCGCATTGGGTTTGATATAAGCCATGCATCCTATGTTGTATTATATCTGCTTTATTAGAAGTACATTCTCTTTAGAGATTTCAGTTACTGCAGTTATATTTCTAATTAATTTTAAGTATTTCTTATTTCTCATTCATATACATTCCATACCCTCAGCACATGAGAATACGTTCTAAGCTTTCTTTGTGTTTTTTTTTTTTTACTTAGGCTTTTGGTCAGCGGTACTGTATGTGCAATCCACAGTTCGTGTCACGGTTTAATAATCCTGATACTGTATTCATCTTAGCCTTTGCCATTATTATGCTAAATACAGACCAACACAATCCTAATGTCAAACCAGAAAGGAAAATGAAATTAGAGGACTTTGTCAAAAATCTTAGAGGTATGAAATAGTGTTCTCTTGGTCATATATGTATATGTATGATATGGCGATCAGTGATGGGATTTTAAAGTCTGTATGATATTGGGATCAGTGATGGGATTTTAAATCTGTATGATATGGTGATCAGTGATGGGATTTTAAGTCTGTATGATATGGTGATCAGTGATGGGATTTTAAGTCTGTATGATATGGTGATCAGTGATGGGATTTTAA